CCTGAGTGGCCCTCGGGTCTCACCTTATGCATGACCCTACTAAGCTGGACTCTCCTGATAGATTCAAACCAGTACTTTCTTCCTCAGCTAGGCCAATCCAGTGCCAATAGCTCCTCCACTCCCCACTCCCCCACCATACTCCTACACACAGACTATTTTTTCATTACATTTCTAAAGAGGCCTTCTTCATACTTCACTGCAAGAGCCCATGATTTGAGAGCACAATGAATATGCTCTCCTTATCAAATAACTCATCTAGACATTGGTAATTCATGTCCCATGCCCCTCCAAAGATATTCACATTCTAGTTCTTAGAACCTAAGAACCTGTGCACCTTTTATGACATAAGAATTTACAAATGTGATCCTGTTAAAGTTATTGGTGGTGGAAGGGGCCTTTCTTGTTGTGTCATGACAAGACAGAAGGTATCACATAGGCTGGAGAGAAGAGAGTCTGAACTCCTCATTTCTAAGGAATTCACCCAATAGAGATGTTTATTCTGGGTTGTGAGGGTAAACCCACATAATCATGCAGGACCTTAAGAGAGGAAGGAAGGACAGAATCAGAGGAGAAATATAGCGAAATGGACATTGCAGACAGACTGGACAATGTTAAGCTTCTGGCTTTCAGGAAGGAGGGCATATCTATGAACAAGCAGCCTCTAGAAGGCAAAAAACTAAGCAATCTCTCCTGTAACTTCAGAAAGAACACATCCTATCAACCACTTTAAACATCTGACTTACAAGTAAAAAAGGGAGTGTTCCAGGTACTGAGTTGGTAAGAACTTATTAAAGCAGCGTCAGGAATCCCATGCTGTCCCTTCTGTACATCTATATATAGATAGACCAAAGGAACAGCACCTATTTCATAGTGTTGCTACAATGATTTCAGGAGGCTACAGAAGTTGAGTGTCCATAGTATAAAAAAAAAAAAAACAAAAGCCCTCAGTAAGCACTGGCTCCTATGCGGAGGCCTCTGGGGACTCAGAACTAAAGACTAGCACAGGCAGGACTTGCACACCTCAGGCAAAGGCTGGAAGTAAAAAGGAAAATGAACTCTGATGGTCCAGAGAAGATAGGTACCACATAAAAGTCAAGTAAGCGAAACAGGTATGCTGTCACTTTTAGGGACAACTAAAATTAAGTTATCCTTTTAAATAACTAAAATTTAGTTCCTTAGAAAGGATGGGTTCAGATATTTTAAATTTCAAAGTCAAAGATAACATACAATTGCATTTCACATCCACCTTGTGTTGTGGGGACTTGGTCATTAGTAACACTAATACATTTTTTTAAATATTTATTTATTTATTATGTATACAGTATACAATATTCTGTCTGTGTGTATGTCTGCAGACCAGAAGAGGGCAGCAGACCTCATTACAGATGGTTGTGAGCCACCATGTGGTTGCCGGGAATTGAACTCATGACCTTTGGAAGAGCAGGCAATGCTCTTAACTGCTGAGCCATCTCTCCAGCCCCAACACTAATACATTTTGTAATACGAAATGAAGTTATTTTTTAGACAAGGTCTCCTGTAGCCCAGGCTGGCCTCAAACTCCCTATATGTAGCAGAGGAGGACCTTAAACTTCTGATTCTCCTTCCTCCACCTCCCAAGTGCTAGGATTATAGGTGTGCACCATATAGGCCAAAAGTCATTTAGGCTACACATCTCATTTCAAGAAAAAATCTCTGCTCAAAGTGACCTAATGCTGCCTGTCAGAACTCAGGCTTGTAGCAAATAGCAAATGCTAACAGAACTTGACAAATACCTTGTGCTTCTTCTCATACTTTTGCATGCTCATATCCTCCAGTGATATCTCTCTTGTCTTCTTTCTATTTTTTTTCTTAGTACACTGGTAACCCAGAAGTTAGAAACACAAAATCCACCAATAGTCTCATGAAACATTAACTAAAAACGTATGGAAACATGCCATAAATGCAGGGTGTGTTCAAAAGAGTGTGCTTAGAAATTAGAGAAATGGAAAGAATGACAGGTACAAGGTTGGTAATGGAAAAATGGGGAGGCAAAGGTTAAGTAGCACCTCTCTGTTCAATTGCTTGATCTTTGGACAGAATTTTTTTACCCCCTCAAGAAGACTCTGAGTGCCTGCAGCTTAGCTTCTGTGACCATGTTATTCTGCTCAAAATCAAGAGCATAGACTGCCTGAAGAAGAAAAGTCCTTTGGGCTGGGTATGTAGCTTAGTTGGTAGAGTGCTTGCTCGGCATGCATGAAGCCATGGGTTCCATCCCCACACCACATAAACTAGACATGGATTTTGTGCATTATGTATTTGTTATACTTTTACAAATCATATATTCCATATGATATGAAGAAAGTATGCTATATAAAACATCTGCCATATAATCTACTGATATTTAGATTATATGTAGTGATTAAAATCAGTTTTTTTCAATATAGGCACAAGAAATATCACACCAACTCCCATCAGTTTTAGCTTCAAAATGATCATTTGAGAAAACAATTGAGATTGAAATATGCCGTGATAACACCACTGAGGCTCTACAGAAAAAAGTTCTTGTCCTTAGGAAACCAGTGAGATTCCACAACTTATCCTCAGAGAATTGATGAGGAGGAAACTATTGGCCAGAAAAAGCAGATGTGGATCGCTTCTCGGCCTTTTGGCTAAGATCAAGTGTAGTAAAAAGCACATGTGGAAATGTTTGCAGGTAGAGTCTAATCAAAAGGTAGAGTTCTGTATTATTCTTGCCACTTTGCTTTAGATGTAAAACAAAACGAAATAAAAACCCTTAAAGATGTTGGAGTGGGGCAATCAGTCAGGAGGACTGAGATAGAAGGACCAGGAAGAAGTTCAAGGATAGCCTGGACTACATTGTGAGCTGGGATAAATAAAAAGATCCCATCTCAAAAGCCAACAGCAACAATAACAAAAGACATTGGAGGAAAAATTATGTTCTTACTATGATGAGTCACAAAAGCTCACTTCCTCCCAATAGACTAGAACTTACACGCAAGCAAACAAAAACACTGGAAATTTTCTAAAACCTTTGAAAAAACATTGCCAAAATCAAAATATTATTGTGTAAAATCATCAAGTAAAAACAATGCCAGCTGGACATGGTAGCCTACCCCTACAATCCTAGCACTGCTGGGATAGAGGCAGAAAGATCAGGAGTTCAAGGTTATCCTTGGTCAGACTGGGCCTCGTGAGAGACCCTGGCTCCAAAAATAAGCAAATAAATAAGGATTTGGAGACACAGCTCAATGCCTAAGAGCACCTGTGCATAAGCATGAGGCTCTGAGTAGGAATCCCATCACCCATGGAATAGGTCAGGGCTGGCTGTGTGTGTGCCTGTAATGCCAGCACTATGGGGGTGGGGAGCAAAGAAGGGGTTCACTGGCCTTGCTGACTACCAACCTAGCTCAGGTTCCATGACAGACCCTATCTCAAGGGAACAAGGCGGAAGATTGATAGAGCACCTGACACACTATACAACTATACACATGTGTACATATGCACACACACACATATATACATAGATATATATACATACATACACACAGTAGACAGACAGACCTACCTGCCTACCTACTGACAGGCTAACCTACAATGCCAGTAACTCCAATAAGTGGGTTAATACACAAGTCTGTACTGGAGTCATATAAACTGCAATACAACACCCAAAACCTATAGAATGATAAGTGCTCAGGAATGACCAGAATCGTGTAAGCAACATCATAGCATCTCACATTTGTTCTCCAATGTAAATAAGGTCCTAGAGTTTTCGAGGTGAAAAACATCTGAGCAAAGTACAGTCCAGTATTTCAAACATCAAATTGTAGGTGCTATACTGCAGGTCAGGAAAATTTTTAAATGTCCAAGTGCTTCAAAGATGTTGAAGGGCTTTTGAAATCAATCTGAAACCCCCTACCTGTGAATTATAATCAGCATTAGAGTAATGTCCCCAAGAAATGTTCTAGTTATTTTATGGGCCTCTTTCCAGAAAAAAAAAATCAATTTCGTCTCTAATTTCAAATATCTGGCTATTCCAAAACTTCTGAACTAGTTCCAATTGTTTAAGTGTGAGCTGAGTGTTTTCACAAGTTTTAGAATGATTTGGCAAAATATATTTTGTTACAAACAGGAGAAATATCTCCAGGCATAGTGGCATACACTGTTAATTTCAACATGGGAGGCAGGAGGCAGGAGGCAGATCGCTATAAGTTTAAGGCTCGCTTGATCTGTAAAGCAAACTCCAGGGTAGCCAGAAGTGAGGGAGGGAGAATAAAGAAGGGAGGAAGGGAGGAAGAGGGAGGGAGAGAAGGAGGAATGTAAGTATACAGAAATTTTTAAAAGCACGGATAGGAACAATAGTCAAAAAGAAAGAAAATGGCAAGTTACTCAAAAATACTGCTTTGCAAAATAAAATCAGAAATTTTGATCTACCTTCCCTTTTTAGAAGGTGGGGTTTGAGATAGGGTTTTTTCTATGTAGCCCTAGCTGTCCTGGAACTCACTCTGTAGACCAGGATGACTTCAAACTCACAGAGATCCACCTGCTTCTGCCTCCTGGGTGCTGGGATTAAAGGCGTGCACCACCACCACCTGGCCCAATTCTGCATTTTTAAAAGCCATGTAATACTGTCCCTCTGTGACAGAATTTTTTTTCTACATGGGAAGAAAAATTTTCTCAAGCCTAAATCTGCAATGTCATTGCTTTCAGAAATGTGAGCTGTGAGCAAGATCAAAATTCTATATTGGGGGGAAAAGTATTCTAAGGAAAAGAAAATCCAGGTTTTACTCTTAGGACTCTGACCTATTAAGCAACTGTTGAAGTAGCAGCTCTTTACTGGAGCTTGCCCTTAATTGAGAGTCTTACGCTTGGTTTCAGAACCCATTAATCATTACCCTTAAATAGTAAACAAAGGGGAATTTCACAATCAGGTGATGTGTCTGTAAAGACTATATAAAGGCGCTCCTCCTCGACACTTCATCAGCTTATTGCCTGCTGCTCTTCAACTCTTCCAGTGCCTGCTCTGACTGGTAAGCAGCTCGGTGAGTTCTTAACATGCCCACTGGCTTTTGCAGTGCTAGGGCTAGAACCCAGGGCTTCCAGCAGTCTAAGCAAGCGCTCTACTAACAGCTATGTTCCCTAGCTCCTAACTTGATTATTTTTAAAATACTTTAGGAGCCAATAATGCTCTCATCTACACCTCTTCTCTCTCCCTTTTCCCTGTTCTCCCCTCTGCCTTTCCCAATAAAGAGGGGGGGAGTAAAAACCTGTTGGCAGCACTTGGCATGAAAGCTCCACTTTAGCATTTTGGTAAATCTACTTTCTTCCCAATTTTCAGGACAGTAGAATGAGTACCAAGAAGTCTCCCGAAGAAATGAAGAGCATTTTTGAAAAATATGCAGCCAAAGAAGGCGATCCAAACCAGCTATCAAAGGAGGAGCTGAAGCTACTGATTCAGTCAGAATTTCCCACTCTCCTGAAGGTAAGTGCATAACCTGAGCGGCCAGAGGCCACTGCCTCTGGGGGTGGGAGAGCACACACAGCTGAGAGCCTAGGGCTGAGGGCTGCCTCAGAAATACTGCCCACAGCCCTGTGGGGATATGGCCACATACAACCCAGGGCCTAGCAAAGACTAAACAGGTGCTCTGTCACAGAGCTACAGCCCAAATCCACATGATTTTTGTTTTTAGAATACACACACACACACACACACACAAAGCTGAAAGAAACTAACATTATAATCTGGCGTTTCCTAATTTTCTTATAGTTCACAATAACTTTGTGTATGTGTTGCTGGGACTTGAACCCAAGACCTCAGACATGCATGTGGAGATTTGTTGCATAGTAAAGAATATATACTTAACACTACTGAACTGTTCACATAAAAATAGCCAGATGAGGGACTAGAAAGATGGTTCAGCAGTTTGGAGTATTTACTATTGCTGCAGAGAACCCAGGTTCGGGATTACAGGCTTGAGCCAGGGGGCTGGAGCCAGGGGGCTGGAGAGATTGCTCAGTGGCTAAGAACACATGATGCTCTATCTGGATTCAGATCCCAGCACTCATGTCCACCAGTAACTCACAACCACCTGTAGCTTCAAAGGATCTGATGCCATTTAATGGCCTCTAAGGGCAGCTGCACTTACATATACATGCCCACAGACAGATGCACGTACGCACGCACACACACACACACACACACACACACACACACACACACACACAGTATTTTTTAAATGGGGGAGGGACAAGCATTATGGTACACTCACTCATTTAATCTCAGAACTCTGAAGGCAGAGGCAGGTGGATCTCTGTTGAGTTCGAGGCTAGTCTTATCTGCATAGTGGGTTTCAGGTCATAATGAGACCCTGTCCCATAGATAAATAAAATAAAAAGGAAAGATAGAACCCAATTATGTGCCATAAAACCACCATAACAGCTGAAGCAGGCTTCGACACACCTATTATCACATTACCAGTGGCATGTGACTGAAACCTAGGCTGCCTTCTTGGAAGGAAAATACAGTTCCTCCTAATTTCAGAGATGTGTTTCAGTATCCTATCTAAATTTTCTTCCTTACCCTATCCCATTCTTTTTATCTAATACCAGGGTGCGAGTACTCTAGACAATCTGTTTACAGAGCTGGATAAGAATGGCGATGGAGAAGTCAGTTTTGAAGAATTTCAAGCACTGATCCAAAAGATATAAACATGAAGACGCCATTAAGGAGCACCATCACCACCTAGTGATCAAATCCTTCACAGTCATAAAGATCTAGCTGTGAGACCAATATACTGTTAATAAAGCAATTTCTGAGACATGTCTCTCTTGTCAAGTACTGACTCTGGATTACTCAGATTTTAGAGTAACCTTAGCCTGATGCCCCTACTTTATTTTTCTGAATTTTTTATTTGTTTTACATTTATTTATTTAGTGTGTGTTTACTGCTCACATGTACGTATGAGCAAGTTCCTGCACTAGCAGGTCACAGTACATGGATGGAGGTCAGAAGATAACATGGAGAGAAGGTTCTCTCCTACCATGTGCGACTGGGGGACCAAACTCTGGTTGTCAGACTGGGTGCTAAGTGCCTTTTTCTTCCTTAACCATCTTGTTGCCTGACTCACCTATCTTTGAGATTAAAGTCATCAGACCCTATTTAAACACGGTAGATCATACACACCAAAATAAGACTTGAAATTAGAAGGGGACACTGGAAAGATGATTTTCTGTGGGAGAAGGACATAGGAGATACAGAATAATGGGGGTGAAAGGGCTAGAAATCACCATATACATGTATGGAACCATCAAGGAATATTTTTTTGGGGGGGTTGGTTTTTTGAGACAGGATTTCTCTGTAGCTTGGGAGCCTGTCCTGGAACTCACTTTGTAGACCAGACTGGCCTTGAATTCACAGAGATCGGCCTGCCTCTGCCTCCCAAGTGCTGGGATTAAAGGCGTGAAACATCGCACTCAGCATTTTTTTTAACTTTTAAAAGTAAGAAATTTTAAATATATATTGCCAAGTATGGTGGCTCATGCTTATATATTAGCATTTGGGAGGTAGAGGCAAAAGGATTGAGTTCAAGGTCATACCCAGTTACATAAAACTTAAGGCTAGCCTGGGCTACATGACATCCTGTCTCACAAAAAGTTTTGTTATGGATTTTTTTTAAGATTTTTAAATTTTATTTTGTGTATTTGCCTGCACGTATATATGTGCATCACCTTCATACCATGCCTGTGGAGGACAGAAGAGAGTTTCAGATCCCCTGAAACTGGAGCTATAGACAGAAATGAACTGCTATGAAGGTAGGCAGAACTGGACCTGGCTCCTCTCCAAGAGCAGCAAGTACTTTTAACCTCTGAGCCATCTCCATAGCCCCTTACAAAAAGACTTTAAAATGAGGCTGGGCACATGTGGGTGGCTCAAATTAGATTTGATGAATATATATATTGACATGGTGGGAAGGAAACATGTTGGGATGGGGAGAGGTTCTGAGGAGAGTTGGAGGGTTGGTATGAACAAGACACAATGTCATATACATACATACATAAAATGTATATAAATAGTCAATAGATTTTTACTTTTTCTAAAAAGTAAACATGGGCTGGAGATAACTTAGGGGTAAAGAGTACTTGCTGCTCTTGCAGAGGACCAGGATTGGTTTCCAGCATCCACATGGTGGCTCACAACAATCTGTAACTCCAGTTGCAGGGTATCCAACACCCTCTCTGGTGCCTGTGGGTACCGGGCAAACATGGTAGTTCGCATATATACATTTAGGCAAAAACCTCACACATATTAAAAGATAAAGCAACTTTCTTCTACACATAAATATGGGGGAAAGTGGGGATATGAATGAATACAGACTATTAGAGACTGTTGACCTACCATGTGGAAGACCCCAGGTTCTATCTGTAGCACCACCAAAGGTAAAAAGCAGGGTAAATGACAAATGTGATAGTCCCAGCACTGGATGCACAGGTAGGGGGATCTCTCTGTGGGTCTGAGATCAGCCTTGTCTACACAACAAGAACTGGGCCATCTAGAGCTACAAGGTAAAAATCTCAGAGAGCCTAAAGAGATGGATCAGTGGTTAAGAGTATATATCACTGCTGGGTGGTGGTGGCACATACCCTTAATCCCAGAAGCAGGTGGATCTTTGTGAGTTCATGAACAGCCTGTTTCACAGAGTGAGTTCCCGGACAGAGAGATTTACAAAGAGAAACCCTGTTTCAAAAACAGAAATATCTGTAGGCTTTAAAGAGAGAAGAAAAAGACTATAGAATCATAAAATAAAGTTAATGCTTTTAAAATGGGTAAAATCTTTAAAGAGACAGAGTAAAGATACTCATAGTTTTAAAGGAGTAAAGAAAAATAAGCCATGGAAAAATGGAAAATTTACAAAGTCTGGATTATGTATATTATTGTGTTGTCTTTTAATTTTTTGACTGTGGAGGAGCTAAGTACAGAGAGACATCTCATTGTAGGGACTGCTAAGTTAAACCAACATAAAGGCATCTTGATTTCAAAATTTGAGTCTAAGGATATGTTGTTTTGGAAGAGTTTCTTCTCTTGTTTCCACAGAGGATGGGGACCTGTGGATTGCTTCCAGACTGGTATGGTTTGAGGGAATAAGACCCCATCAAAGGTCACCTTGAACACCCCTCAAAAAATTACTTCGCAAGGACACCAGAAAATGGAAGGACCTCCCTTGCTCTTTGATTGGGAGGATCAACATAGTAAAAATGGCAATTCTACCAAAAGCAATCTATAGATTCAATGCAATCCCCATCAAAATCCCATCAAAATTCTTCACAGATCTGGAGAAGACAATAATCAACTTTATATGGAAAAACAAAAAACCCAGGATAGCCATAACAATCTTATACAATAAAAGATTGTCTGGAGGCATTACCATCCCTGACTTCAAACTCTATTACAGAGCTACAGTATTGAAAACAGCTTGGTATTGGCATAAACACAGAGAAGTTGACCAATGGAATCGAATAGAAGACCCTGACTTTAACCCACAAACCTATGAACACCTGATTTTCGATAAAGGAGCTAAAAGTATACAATGGAAAAAAGAGAGCATCTTCAACAAATTGTGCTGGCAAAACTGGATGTCAATCTGTAGAAGAATGAAAATAGATCCATATCTATCGCCATGCACAAAACTCAAGTCCAAATGGATTAAAGACCTCAATATCAGTCCGAACACACTGAACCTGATAGAAGAGAAAGTGGAAAGTACTCTACAACACATGGGCACAGGAGACCACTTCCTACGTATAACCCCAGCAGCACAGACATTAAGGGCCTCATTGAATAAATGGAACCTCCTGAGACTGAGAAGCGTCTGTAAAGCAAAGGACACTGTCACTAAGACAAAAAGGCAACCCACTGACTGGGAGAAGATCTTCACCAACCCCGCAACTGACAAAGGTCTGATCTCCAAAATATATAAAGAACTCAAGAAACTAGACCGTAAAAGGCTAATCAACCCAATTATAAAATGGGGCACTGAACTGAACAGAGAATTCTCAACAGAAGAAGTTCAAATGGCCAAAAGACACTTAAGGTCATGCTCAACTTCCTTAGCAATCAGGGAAATGCAAATCAAAACAACTTTGAGATATCATCTTACACCTGTGAGAATGGCTAAAGTCAAAAACACCAACGATAACCTTTGCTGGAGAGGTTGTGGAGGAAGGGGTACCCTCATCCATTGCTGGTGGGAATGCAATCTTGTGCAACCACTATGGAAGTCAGTGTTTCGGTGAATGTACACACACACACACACACACACACACACACACACACACCATCCTGCCCCTGTTATAGCTATATTCTTTATAACTGCCTTTCTGGGGGAAAATGATTTTAAGCACAAGCTAATTCTCAAAGGCCTTCTATATCTTTTGTCAAGTAGAACATCCTCTTCAATGTTCTAAAAGTAAATCAAATAAATGCCCAAGTAATACAAGTTGCCTAAGCCCTTACTCTGGAGTGAATTGCCTGTGTATCTGTTTACTTGTTTGTTTGAGACAGTCTCATATAGCCCAAGCTGGCCTCAAACTCCTAATTCTCCTGTCTCCACTTGCCAAGTGCTAGGATTACAGAGACAGGGTCTTTATGTGGATTTGTTGTGGTTTGGCTGGTTTGAATTTTGTTTTTTAAAATCTCGTAATTTGCATAGCATATAAAGTTGTTGAAAGACAAGCCAAAGGAAATACTTCAAACTAAAGGCAACATAAATTAGCCTTCACCAGAATTGGCTTGTAATTGTAACTAATTCACAAATCAGATGTCAAATTAATTTTAACTGTGAAACTTCCTAGATCAGAAAGGGATAAAGGCATAACAATAATAAAAAAATTCAATCAGAATATTATCAAATACTACAATCTCAGATGTCCATTTACACCTTGCTAAAACACTTCTAGCCATCCCATGAGCGGTTCAGTAGTAAAACTACTACTGACTAGTAGAAAGTAAAACTACTTTCTAACCTAGGGCTGGAAAGGTGTTTCAGCAGTTAAGAGCGGTTGGACCTGCTTCAGTTTCCAGCATCTGTTTGGCTGCTCACAATTATCTATAACTCCCGTTTCAGGGGATCCAATACCCTCTTTTAGCATCCCAGGGCACCAGGCATACACATTATATACAAACATACACGGAAGCAAGGCAATCATACACATAAAATACTGAAATAATTTAAAAAAAAAGACTCCTAATCTCCCACTTTTCAATTTTTTAAAAAAATGTGTATGTCTGTGCATCTCTATCTATGCCATGTGCAGGTACCCAAAGAATATAGAAGAGGGAGCTGGATCTCCTGGAGATGGAGTTAACAAGCAACTGTAAGATGCTTTATGTGAGTGCTGGAAATGAAATTTGGGTCCTCTGAAAGAGCAGGAAGTACTCTTAACTACTAAACAATTTCTCCAGCCCCTTTTCTACTTTCTTTTACTAATACCACCATCTGAGTGTCCATGATTGTTTTGAAAGCAGCGCATGTATTCTGTCTTCATGGTGTTGTATTTTATATGAATTCATATTTTCATTTTTTTATAATTTTTTATATATTTTACATGTTTTGGGGGGTGTATGCACTGCCACAGTGCATGTATAGAAATCAAAGAACACCTTCCAAGAGTCTATTCTCTCCTTCCACCATGTGTGTTCTGGGAATCCAACTCAGATTATTACACTTAGTGGCAAGTG